TTTATTCCCGTTTTCCCCCCAATTTCAGCTCCCGGTGAGGAAAACGAGCCGGGATAAACCCGGGAGCTCCCCAAGGTTCCCTCTCCCAGCTCCTCCCTTTGGATGGAACACTGGAAATCCATCAGAGAGGAATGGAAGGAGAAATGGAGAGGGAAATGAAAGAGAAAAAAGGGCAATTCCCAAAAAATCCTCTAAAAGCTGCAGAATTCCCAGGAAAAGGGAACCCACCCCCTGCTAGGCCCCATTCCCGCTGGGCTTCTCCTCCAGGGAAGATTCCCACGCCCGATCCAAGATCTCCAGAGCTTCCAGGAGCTCCTCAGCAAACACATCCCCCTTCCCTCCGCAGCGCAAAATCAATATTTCCTCAACCCGCCGCTCATCTGCATATTCCCCGCTTAATTGCCGCCAGGCGATCGCCGTGTTTTGCCAACAATCGAGGCCTGGAATATGCTTAATGCGCTTAATTTGCTTAATTAATGCCCTCCAGTTGCGCGGAACAGAAGGGCAGGGCTGCAAATTTTCGCTCCCCCCGTTGGGCTGACATTTTGGAGGAGGTGAAGAACGGCCGAGCCGATGGCGGCCGCTCAATAATTCAGATTTTATGGAGTGCTCCCCTCCTCTCCTCCCAATTAGCTTCGCTCTCGCTAATTAGGACAAATCAGAAGGGCCCCGCTGTTGGTGGGGATGGCCACGGCAGAGCCGTCATTCCTGAGGCGTCATCCAAGGCCGGGACAGGGACCGGGCCCGACGGAGGGATCATCCCACCCCTGCTGGGGTGGCACCCATGGGAGATCAGGGCTTAATTTGGGGGTTTGGGGTCACTCATCCCACCCCTGCTGGGGTGGCACCCATGGGAGATCGGGGTTTGATTTGGGGGGTTTGGGGTCACTCATCCCACCCCTGCTGGGGATTTTTATCGATAAGAACTCGGGGTTTGATTTGGGGGGTTTGGGGTCACTCATCCCACCCCTGCTGGGGTGGCACCCATGGGAGATCGGGGTTTGATCTGGGGTTTGGGGTCCCTTATCCCACCCCTGCTGGGGTGGCACCCATGGGAGATCGGGATTTGATCTGGGGGTTTGGGGTCCCTCATCCCACCCCTGCTGGGGTGGCACCCATGGGAGATCGGGATTTGATCTGGGGGTTTGGGGTCACTCATCCCACCCTCATTAGGGATTTTTATCAATAAGAACTCGGGGCTTGATTTGGGGGTTTGGGGTCCCTCATCCCACCCTCATTAGGGATTTTTATCGATAAGAACTCGGGGTTTGATTTGGGGGTTTGGGGTCACTCATCCCACCCCTGTTGGGGATTTTTATCGATAAGAACTCGGGGTTTGATTTGGGGGGTTTGGGGTCACTCATCCCACCCCTGCTGGGGTGGCACCCATGGGAGATCGGGGTTTGATTTGGGGGTTTGGGGTCACTCATCCCACCCCTGTTGGGGGTTTTTATCGATAAGAACTCGGGGTCTGATTTGGGGGTTTGGGGTCACTCATCCCACCCCTGCTGGGGTGGCACCCATGGGAGATCGGGGCTTGATTTGGGGGTTTGGGGTCACTCATCCCACCCCTGCTGGGGTGGCACCCATGGGAGATCGGGGGTTGATTTGGGGTTTGGGGTCACTCATCCCACCCTCATTAGGGATTTTTATCAATAAGAACTCGGGGTTTGATTTGGGGGCAGTTTTTGGGGTCCCTCATCCCACCCCCGTTAGGGATGGCATCAATGAGGGCTCAGGTTTGATTGATTTTGGGGGTCACTCATCCTTCCCTCATTAGGGATGATATTGATGAGGGATTGGGGTTTGATTTGGGGGGATTTGGGGTCCCTCATCCCATCCTCATGAGGGATTTGTAGCGATAATAACTCGGGGTTTCATTTGTGGGTGGTTTTTGGGGTCCCTCAACCCACCCCCGTTAGGGATATCGATGAGGGCTCGGGGTTGATTTGGGGGGTTTTGGGGTCTCTTTCCCCACCCTCATGAGGGATTTGTAGCGATAATAAGTCAGGGTTTAGTTTGGGGGCAGTTTTTGGGGTCCCTCAGCCCACCCTCATTAGGGACTGGTATTGATGAGAGCTTGGGTTTGATTTGGGGGGTTTTGGGGTCCCTCATCCCACCCTCATTAGGGATTTTTATCAATAAGAACTCCGGGTTTGATTTGGAGTGTTTGGGGTCCCTCATCCCACCCTCATTAGGGATTTTTATCAATAGGAACTTGGGGTTTGATTTGGGGTGTTTGGGGTCCCTCATCCCACCCTCATTAGGGATTTTTATCAATAAGAACTCGGGGTTTGATCTGGGGAGTTTTGGGGTCCCTTTTCCAGGGGTCCCTCCTGTCCCCTCCCTCAGCCTCGCCCTTCCCCACGGGAAAAGGGCGTGGAAATGTGGAAATCCGCTGGGTTGGGACATTTCCCCTCATTTTTAGGGTATCTAAATATGGAAATTTGCTGGTTTGGGGACATTTCCCCTCATTTTTAGGGCATCTAAATGTGAAAATCCGCTGGTTTGGGATATTTCCCCTCATTTTTATGGCATCTAAATATGGAAATTTGCCTCTTTGGGGATATCCCCCCTCATTTTTAGGCTGAAGAGTATTTAAATATGGAAATTTGCCAGTTTGCAGGTATTTCCCTGTATTTTTTTAGACTGAAGAGCAGCTAAATGTAGAAATTTGCCGTTTGGGGATCTTCCCCCTCATTTTTAGACTGAAGAGCATTTAAATATGGAAATTTTTCGGTTTGGGGATATTCCCCCTCATTTTTAACTAATCTAAAAATGTAAATCTGCCGCTTTTTTGATTTTTTTTCCCTCATTTTTCAGCTGGATAAAGGCGGAGCCGTCCCTGGAGAGGCCAAAAGGATGCTCAGACCCCAAACCAGCCCAAAACCAGGCAGGGCCGAGGAGGAGGAGGAGGAGGAGGAGGAGGAGGAGGAGG